ATCCTAAGGGTGACTCATCTTGAGTTTCCCCACAGTGACCCCACCTACTAAGTATTTAGAGATTGAGAGCAATATGTGGAACTCCAAGTTGAGTAAAGAAGAGGGTAGAATTTCTAATGGTGAGGGTTCCAAGTCTAGTTTTCTATGAATAGTCAAAAGGAAAAGTCCTATGGCTAGACCCTAAGCTACTAAAGAGGAAAAACTAAACCTCAACCAAAATTGAGGTCAACAATGTGTTTTTGTTTTTATCTCCATGAATTCTAAGTAGTTTTTCTATCTTTCTCCTTACATATGGGAATTAATCATGTGGGATGAGAATGATTTAAATATTTCTTTTTTATTTTTAAAATTTTTATGGCATTTTCATGAATTCTTCATTGACTTTGCAAATTGGCCACTTGAGAGGTTAAAATCTGTTGAGAAACATAATGACGCGGGAGGGCTATGTTTCATCCAACTTGTGAATGCCACACTCACCTTACGAGAAGGGCGACCACAATCTAAAAAGAGTGCAAATAGATAAGGAAATAAGTTTTGAAGGGCATAGAATTGAAGTTTCTATGATGAGGCTAGATTCTTTTGTCAATTCAATCTTGAGTTTTGATCTAAGGGTCTCTAGTAGGTCCTATAGAGAGCGCACAGTGTGTAATTGACACGCCTAAAAATTACCTACTTTGTTATATATTTTTTATGCTTAATTTTAAAGATTTTTAATGATATTACTTATTTTTAATGATATTACACTTTAAAGAAATGTATTTTGCATATTTTTGGTTTCAGATACAAGAAACAAGCTTTTGGAGAAAATGAAGCAAAAATGGTGTAATTTGGAGTAAAAACGAGCAAAAAAGAAAACTCTAACTTGGCACATTTCGATATGTTTTTATATGTTTAATCTACTTTACATTTATCAAAAGTTTTTAACTTTAATTATACTTTAAAGAATGGTTGTTTTTATGCTTATTTTGTAGGAATATCTGTAAGGATTGAAACACAACTGAAAGGGGTGCAACAGAGTGGAAACTGAGCCAAATGAAGCAAAATGGTGGAGCTAAAGCAGAGTGGCACATGATGTGCCAAACTGGCGGCAAATGTGCAAAATCTAGAAAACTGGCGCATGATGCGTTAGAGATGACTTTTTGCGGATTAAGGCGGTTTTGAATGAATTTTATGCAAATTTTCAAAGGAACGCTTGTTTTAAACACCCCTTGGAGTGATTTAATGCATCTAGACACTTTGGAAGGTTCTTTTATGAAGGGATATGTCTTTTGAATCAATAAGCATGTCTTTTGAATTCAAAAGAGTTGACTTTTGGATAGAATTTTGGAGGGAATTTTGAATTCTTTTCGGAGGGAGGTATCCTTTAATAAAAGAGAGGGAAGTCTAGGTCTTGAGGAGGAGTTTTGGGTGTCGAGAGTGTGTGCGTTTGTGTGTGTGTGTGTGTGGCGTGAGGGTGAGAGGAAGGGCTTGGAAATTTTCTTCAAGGATTGTAAGAGGAGAGGGAAGATGACAGATTTCTTCTTCATTACATTTCTAGGAGAATATTGAGTGTGATTGCAAAGTGAGAAAGTGCTTAAAGGGAACTTCTAGGGATATGCTTAGGAAGAATCATGAGATAAGTTGTGTTCTTTTATTTATTTATTTTGTAAACTTGTTTCAATGGTTATTAGCAAAAGTTTGGGTGGCAATGCCAATGGTCGCATTTTGTTGTGTATTTTAAAATTAACCAAATATGATGAATTTGGAATACAATAGAGTTGAAGCAATGGTTGTATGTAAAATTCATTATAGTCATACATTAAATTTCATTTTTCTCAAACCGAACACCCAAAATTTGAAAATCCCTGCATTTAGATTGCAATAAAGATGACTCTTCATAATAGGGAAAAAATGGTTAAGGGCATAAAGCAAAAGAGGAGTAGAGAGAGAAGGAAAAAAATCCTTCAAGAAAAGAAAAATCCCTAGAGAAAGATAAATGGCTAAAAAGAATACTCCTTAAGCTCTCGTCAACATCCCTAATTTATATAAGAATTTCAGATCTTACATGCTATGGTAAATACTTTATGTACAATTTTTGAACAAAATAAAATACAATTTCAAGTTGCATCTTTTAGCTTGATAGGGCTCATACGCAAAGAAACTATCTTTTGAGTTGGTGAGTCTACATTGACTGACTAAGTTAATGTGTGAAGGTCAAGTAATTGAGTTAAAGAGTGCATACAAACATATTTTGGATTGCTAGCATTTTCTAAGTCAAGAGTGCATGTTTGCATTAGTCAAGTTAAAGAGACCAGGCCCATATAGGTTGAGTTGAAGAGTAAAAATAAGTAGATCAAGTTTAAAAGTGCAACTTCCCTAGGTAGAGTTGGGCAATGTATGTATACATATCCTAAATTGAAGAATATAAATCGATATGACAAATTGAAGAGTGCAAGTTGGAAAAGATTGAGTTAACTTAATCAAGTCATCATTTAGGCCAAGTAGTGAGTCGTGTTAATTTGAAGTTGAACTTCAGTGTGTTAAGCTTGCCAAAAATCACTTTGAGTTTGGTTTACAAATAACCACTTCACCAAGGATGCTAAGTTAGCCTACTTGTATTTAACTTGGTCGATAGACCTCTAAAATATGTCTTGTTCTTCTTTCACTCAATTAACCCCCTAATAACTAAGAACTAGAAGCTCTAACAAAGTCACGTTGGTAAAATAGAAATTACTTTTAACAAAGCGACCTTCCTATCTACAACTTATAGATCAAATCTTAAGATTATTTTATTTAGTTGACTATTTTAAATTTGAATGGATATACCATGTATTCATTAATATAACATCATATAATATAACATGTTATAGGATTTTCTAAATTTATTTTTTATTAAAATAATTTTTTATTTTTAAGTGAGTGTGTGCAAGTCATTCATAAATTTCTTAATATTTTAGATATCATAATTAATACTTATAAATAAAATATTTTTTAAATGAAGCTTGATTTTGATATGACTATCTCTGCATACTCAAATTTATCAAGCCATCGACTTTACTTAAACCATAAAAGAAGTTAAAATTGATTGCTATAAAGTTTGCCATTAGTATCCTACTGAATAACTTAGCTTATGCACTTGCATTAATCTTATGTAAAAATATTAACCCAACAAAATTACTATTATAAGATTAAATTACATAAGTAAATAGAAAAAAGTATAAGAATTGAAATTCCTCTGTAACTCCATGTACAAATCCTGCAATTTCCCACATTGCCTTTGCAAACCCCCCCTCCCCCGCCCCCC